CATTCCACGATTTCGCTTAAATACTTTTCGTTCTCTCTCCCACTTGTATCCTCACAGGCAGCGTAAGATGTCATTTCGTTCCTGGGCCTCACCCAGCCCTCCCTGGACAGCGCGGCATTGTGACATTGGCCTAGCTGTGTATAGTGGACATTCAGCACTCTTAACTGCTTGTTGCCTAAAGCACTTTCCATGTTTGGAGTATTCTCCACCTTATAAATACTGACAGGGAAGAGCCTAAATCCGGACATGGAAGCCAAGGACACCAGATACTGCTACCATGGTGGACAAAGCTTGGCGAACTGGATCACCAAAATCATCAGCAGAGGCCATGGTTTTGCTCACAACCCAGAGAAGCAGGTCAGAGGAATGCACTCCCTCGAGGAGAATGTCCTTGTGCAACAGGATTCACACCCTGCAACAGGACAGCTGCTAAGGGGGCCTCTGAACCATTGCCCTGGGGTTGATTTGGGTGGCACCCTTGTCAAAGAATCTCTGAACGTGACTTGCACATTAGCAGATCTTCTGATAAGTTTCTTTATGTACGCCTGACACAGTCCATTTCTTTCTCCTGAAAATTAGCACTGAGATGAGCGCCTTGCCTCCTGCTGTCAGGCAGCTCACCGTGGGTGGGGCAGCAGTCACCTCTGCCACGAGGATGCTGAGGTATCCCATGCGTGCAGCGGCGCCCAGTGTAAAGAGCTCTTAAAGCTCGGCGTGTTCTTGGTAAGTGTTCGCCACTACTATTGCATGCTTCGTGCTTTGCAGGAAAATTTGAAAAATGCTATGCCTGTGAGAGTCTGAAATGGCACTGAGGAAGGTTTTAATTTTATAATCTGGGAATTGAGGACCTTTAACATCAAACACCCAGAATGCAAAGGAGAGGGCCTGAAAATAGGCAGTGGCACAATCCCCTGCAAGGTGGGCTAGGGGCAGTGGCACAATCCCCTGCGAGGTGGGCTAGGGAGCAGCCAGGGTGGCAAGACCCAGGAAAGCCGGTGCAGGGGAGGGGTGTCACGTGGTGCTGACTCCAGGTTCATGGAGCAAGGCCGCTGAAGAGAGGCAGCAAGGAGCGAGGACGCAACAGCGACCAGATAAAAAGCCAGAACAACAGCCTTTCCAGAAATGAGTGGCATCATTCTCCCACTTTAAATACTGAGCATTTTACCCCAACAGGAAGAGGGGCCATGCAGGGCTGCAGGGATAAACTGAGGTGACAGACGGGAAGCAAGTGGGCATGCATGGCTGATGCCACAGGCAGCAAACGCTCTGGTGGGTGGCTCTGGGAGTCACATGAGTTGGTGTGCACTGTCCAGAGGGTGTGAACAAAAGAGGGGGGGACCCTGCCACAGCTCACAGAAGGGACCAGCATTGTGCACTGTCATGGGAGGATGCTGCCAAGGGCCTGCTGGGAGCTCATGATATTTGGGATCCAAGCAAATACTGAGAGTCTTGGTCACTTGGCTTTCAAACTATGATCCTCCTTTGCCATTGTATTTGATTGTACAATGGTCAAATAAAACGTGAAGCCTAAAAAGAGGTGGAGTCCGTAGCCAAGCAGGTGAAGAGTCAGGCCGTGGCTAACACACCGAATGGAGCTGAAAAGGAGGAAGCAGACAAAACAAGCCAAATACACAAGTTACAGCCAGTCGCAGGTGCAGTGCCAGGACCTCCAGAGCACTCACGCTCAGACGCCTGTGCTCACAGCACACAGGGAGCCACAGACGGAAGAGGGAGAAACCTGGGGCCCCGGGGACGAAGAAGACCTGGGCCTCAGGGGAGGATTTCAGGGACTGCAGCACGGAGGGATGAAGGAAGGACAGAGGAGAAGAGACAGTGGAAAGAGGAGATGGGCAAGTAAGGGAGTGAAGTGTGGAAAATCAGAGATCTGGAGAAAGCATTTAAAGGGAAAGGAAATAGAGCTGGGGTGGGAGGGAGTCGGAACCAAAAGAGAGCAAATGAGGCAGTCCGCATCTCACAGGTTACACAGGTATAGTTGCCTGGAGGGGCTGCGGGGAGGGGGAAGAGCATTAGGAGTACATGGAGCATGTACCCCACTTCCTCCAGGGCAGCCATGTTCGGGGCTGCATCAGGCTTAACTGCAGGATCAGCTAGCTGTGTGCAATGCATTTATAAACAGATATCTTTTGGCAAGTGAATCAAAAAGGCCTCCACAAGACAGCGGGTTCTGGGCTCCAATCCATTTGCTCTGTGAATTAATTGACTTTATTTGAACTCTCCTGTTTTCAGTTGGAGAATTCACCATGAACATGTTGTACCCATCTCAGATATCAAATAGCAAATGTACTGCAGTCAGATTCTGGAACTGACCCAAAAATTCTTCCTCAGTCAGACAGGGGCTTCTCTGTGGTGAGGAAAGATAACCAAGAGATAAATATATAAAATAAATGATTGAACTTTTTGAAATGTTTTCACATCTCTCCTTTCAGAAGCGGAAGCTCCACTGAGAACAGAGTCTTTTTACTCACCACCGGAAGAGGTAAATGGCACCTTCATTCAAAGTAACATTTTCCTTCAGACATCAAGCCCAGTGCTTGCCATGTATTTCTCAAAATGCTAATTTTCCAGCAATACACTATCTTCATAAAATCAGTTACATTTCTCTTTTATAACAAATATGAGTCATGGTCAAAATACACAATGGATGATTAAATTACTTTTTTAAAACTACTATAGTGAGACACTCCCTTCAAAATACCCACACAAGTATGTGTGCAAGCACACACACACACATGCACACACAATTTCACACACATTTATGTCACCATCCTTACCACTTTCCGAAGCAGTTCTAGAAGTCCTCTTTCCCGGTATTTTTAGTTGTGCTGTCCTGACTGTCTTGATATCTGGAGTAGGTTCAAAACATTTCCTTTCATGTTCATTTTGAGGGCTTTAGAGCAGAGCTAGCTCCAGTGAATAAGGTGGCGGAGGACACACTGTCATGGTTTGATTTGACAGAAATTTGAATAAATTCAAGACACTGGGGCAGCCTCACAAAGAGACTCACAAAAGGAGGTTTATGGAACTGCTGCAGAAAGTGTCAAGAACATGAGATGACTGTGCTGGAAGGGAGGGAGGGCATTTCGAGGGACTCGCAGCAGTCTGCCTTTCACTATTTAAAAGATAGGATCTTGAGGATCCGCCTTTCGCAGGTAGTGTTTAAATATCTGATCTAAACATTTACTGTATTTTTATCACAGTTGGCATTTTACTACATATAAAGTGTCTTTGTGCCAACAAATGGAATGAGTACTGTGGTTATCTTTCAAAGCCGATACATTCTAAAAGGCCAAACTACCTACCTTGTAGCCAACATTTGTGAATTTATGATAGATATCAAAAGATAAATACTCTAAGTCACTTATACCAATTAGTGGCTAGCTATATGGGGAGAGAGGGAACAAGAGGCAGAAAACAAGAAAAAGAGAGAGGAGGATGGAGAGCAAGGCTTCCTAACATCTGTAAGACACTGGAAGAACCCTGGGCTGGGCCTCCAAGGTAAGCCACAGAGGCACCTGGTCTGTGCGGCCGTACTGGACGGCCTCTACAGTTACAGCCAGCTAGACCCGTGGATGTGCCCTCCGTCTCTTCTTCCTTCTCCAGTTCCAAGATCCTCTCAGTACTGTTTCCTCTCCCTTTTATGACTAATGCTTGGACTAGGAGACATAGGAAAGGGTGGCAGCCTTCAGGGATAGGAATGGAGACAGTGAAGGCCAGGCTCAGGAGGGTTCCGTTGGGACCAAGGGCTCCAGTGCATCTGGGCTCAAGACCACATGTGTTGTACTCTGGAAAAAAATTAACATAAAATAAAAACTTTTCTACATTTTGCTCACATCTTGAGACTCTCTGGGAGACTGAGAATAAGGGAGACAGCTAATGGTTCTGGTGAGATAAATTTCAAGGAAGCCAGCACAGTCACAGTAAGCCAACTTGGCTGTATAAAGGAATTCCTGGGGGATTAGATGCACTTCTGGGTGTGTCTGTGGGGTGTTCCCAAAGGTGACTGGAGTCCAGACCAGCACCCTGAGGGGCAGCACCTGCACTGACTGTGCGCAGCACCATCCCTGGGCTTGCACCTCATGTGGAGTGACAGATGAAGAAGTCTGCTGTGTTCTTGCAGCTTTGTTTGTGAAAACCCAGTCTGACTGAGCTGGTACGTCTTTGACTGCTACTCTGTGAGTGTCAGTTTCTTTATCCTCCTAACACAGACTCACACCAGCACTCTCAAGGGAGCTTCCAGGCCTTCAAGTTTGCACTGACGTTGTACCCCTGATCCCTCTTTCCTCATGGCCTGAAACTCCGTGTGCTGAGCATTCGCTGGACCCTGCAGCTCTCCAGCTTGCAGACGGCCGTCTTGACTTGTCCACCTAATAAATCCCTTGTGGGATTTTATATATACATAACATTGCTTCTAATTTTCTGGAGAACACTGACAAATACACTAATATTCAGGCCTTGGCATGGGTACCGCTGGCTGTTATTGGCCAAATGTATGGGCAAATTGGGGGAAAAACAAAGCCAAATGTTTTAAAGACTTAAGTTTTGGCCCAGAGGAATCACATGTAAAGTCGAAACTGAAATGTGACTACTGAAGAAAGTATTGCCACTAAAAAGAAGTGGAGTACTTTGTGCAGGGAGGACAGGAAGAAGGTGCCTCTGGGTCCCTCAGATCAGTGAGGCCTCACCCTTTTCAGGCTCGTAGGAGAAGAAACAGAGATCTTTCACTGGGAAAGAGAACTCCTGGCCCTCTGCTCCAGAACAGCGACCGAAGAACGTTGTTCGCTAGAATGAATCTCCCCTAGCCTGGCATCCAGACACTAAGGGCTGCTGCAGCCACGGCCCGAGAGGCCTGCGTGCCACTCCCACTGACAAATGGCCTGGTGTTAGCCACGTGGTGCGTGCAGAATGCAAAGGCTGTGGAGTCTGGAGGCTTCCACCTAGATCCAAAGGAACACCTGGGAGGCTGGGCAGAGACGCCCCGAGCGCTGGCTCCGGCAGCACACGTGCTAACACTGGAGCGATGCAGGGAAGGGTAGTGTGGTCCCTGTGCAAGGATGACGTGGGAATTCATGAAGCAGTCCATGTTTTTGTTTTGATCTTCTATCAAATTGGCAATAATTCAAAACTTTCATAAGCTTTTCTGCAGCATGAAGTAGCAGCATTTTAAGTCCTTAAGAAATGTCTGTACTTGTTTAAATGACTCATTTTCACAAACTCTTATTGTGAACCAAAGAGAAATATGCACAAAATAAGGTACCAGAGCAACAAATATGAAAAACTCACGAAAAATAGAACAAACATAATAGAAAAATGATTCAAAAGGATTATTTAAATAAACCATATTACCATATCCAATTTTTTTTTCAGAACTGGGAATTGAACTCAGGGCCTTGCATTTGCCAGGGATGTGCTTATTCTACTGAGCTATCTCCCCAGGCCCCATATATAACTTTTTTACCATTTTATTTTTCTCTTTAAAAAAATAAAACTATGTATAATCATACAGTGGGAAAAAATGAGGCCCTGAAAGGGAAGGATGTGAAGCTATGGGCAGGAAGCTGAAGGCGCAGGCAGGATGAGGGATGCCACCCACAGAGCCCAAAGGCGGGGCCTTCCAGGTGCCTAGACCCCGCATTTCACCGCCACGTGTCACAGATACAAACGCGGGCCACAGGATTTAACGTCCGCCCTGCTAGATTTCTGTCTTCCTTTGCTCTGTGCTTTTTTTATCCCTCGGTTTCTCTCTTTTGGAATGAAAAAGTTTACTCTGAACTGGTATGTCTTGGGGTCATGTGACTTATTACTAAGTTTTTCAAAGCTTCACAATTAAGAGTGTACCTTGAGCTCAGACGAGACTTCGACTCAGACATTTGGAAGAAACTGGAACTGCTAAAAGCAGAAAAGGCAAACTGTGCTGCGGCCAGCCAAGAACTTCTCCACAGCAAGAAAGCAGTTAGCAGAGTAAAGGGACAAGCTATCGAACAGGAGAAAATATTCACCAATATTTGTAAAAAAATTGTATCTGAAAAATATTTACATCTGAAAAGGGATAATATCTATAATATATAAGAACTCATTAGCAAAATAAAAAGCAATTAATACTTGGACAATTGGCTTAAACAGGCATTTCTTAAAAGTAAATAAATAAATAAAATACAAAGACAAGCAGATGGCCAATAGGCCTATGAAAAACTGCTCAACATTAGTAGTCATTAGGGAAATGGGACTAAAACCACAATGAGACACCGCCCCATCCAGAATGATGTTTATCTCCAGCCCAGTCTGTGGCCAGAAAGACCAAAGAGGTCAAGTGCTGACCAGGATGGGGAGGAAGGGAACGCTGCCCCTGTGGGTAGGAATGAAAACTGACACGGCCTTTACAGAAAACGTGTGGAGGCTCCTGGAGTAATGAAAATTATTAAGTGGCCCTGCAGTCCTGCTCCTGGGACAGCTCCAAAGGAAACGACAGTCATTTGCCAAGGAGACGCCCACACTCCTGCCTACTGCAGCTCCTTAGTCACAACAGCCAAGAAGCAGAAACAGCCTCCCTGTCCCCCAAGTGGTGAGTGGACGGAGAAAGGGTAGTGTCATTTCACAATGAGATACTACTACTGGGCTGTAAAAAAACCAAAATATCATCTGGAACAATCCTGATGGCACCTGCATGAGCTACACACACCTTGTGACCTCCCAGCTGTGGAACTAAAAGTGTTGCTATCCCAGAAGTTAACAGTAGAACAGTGGCTCTGGAAGGATGAGCAAGAGGAGGGAACAGGGGAGGATGAGGAAGGCTGGCCAGTGGGTTCTAGATGTAACCAGCCAGAAAGAGGAAGCCGATACTACAAGCTGTCGCTTACCCCCTGAAAGCTAGAAGTGCTGGGCTCACAGAAGAAGAGACCAGAAGACAAGAGGGCACAGTGGAGGAGAACTGAGAGAGGCTGGGTAACCAGGACCAAAGCAGCGAGTAGTCGGCTCAGCGGTGCACAGCTGCAACCCTAACACCATCAAGGCTGAAGCAGGAAGATCGCGAGCTTGGATCCTGCCTGGGCAGCGTAGTGACAGCTATCTCAACATAAAGTTGTGAAGGAGGTTAAAAAGTAACTCAGCGGTATGGCGGTCCGGGGTTCAATCTCCAGTACAAAAAAAAAAAGCTTACCGTAGACGAGAGGTATGAGTTCTAGCATCCCGCACACAGAAGAGGAGCTAGCTGTCAACGTATGTATTTTCTGAGAAGCTAGAGCATAGACTCCCAGCACGAAAGCATGACAGAAAGGGACGGGAACGCTAAACGCCTGACTTGAGCACGACTCATGGTTCACACTCTGAGTCGCCGCACTGTGCCCTGTAAGTAGGTACAACTGTGGGTCAACTAAAAATAGATTTTGAAAAGTAGATACCATGGTTGTGTAGGTCTAGCCCAGTAGTGCAAAGTGATCCATAAGGAAAACTGATTCATAACTTCGTCTCACACCACAACCTGGAAGGTAGGGCTTTGGCCCAAGCTCGAGTGCTGTGCTCTTACCCGTGCACACTGCAGTCTCTGACGGTGAAAGGGGCACATGCCCACAGGGGCTGTGGTGGCAATCACAGGTAGGGGGCCAAGAAGGGAGGTGGGGGATGGGACAAGGAGGGGAGAGCTCAGATACGCAGGTAGGTAACGCCTGCCCATGTCGAGGACGAGCAAGCCAGGAGGAAGAGCATGCCTGGCTCCACCTATGAGTCTGAGGACTATAAGCCTGACATTAGCCAGTGAAGCCTGGTCACTCTCCAGTCTTACAGCACTTACACCGCTTTTCACTAATAAGCAATTTTGAGGTCAGAAATTACTAGCTCAGCAGATTCTCAAACATGCCCTCAACATCTGCAGAACTCACACGGACCATGTGAACAAACTCACATTTCAGATCCGTGCTAGAATTCTTGACTGGGACTTCTCCAGTGCCTAGTGGTCACTACCGTGGAACACCGCCCTCTGCCTACTGAATGCGTGCAATGGTGACCGTGATGTCTATTTCCCACCCTGGCCTTCTTCTCAGTTGTGACAGTGACATGACACACACTTTGCCTGTGTGCATGTACATTACCGTGCATGGATTCATTCAACAGACAGAGTCCTCGCCATGTCATACCATGCATTGTGCCAGGTGACAAGGACACAGGGACAATCTGATACTTACCTGGACAAGAAAAAGCTCACAGTTCAAGAAGGAAGGTAAACACATCTTTAGAGAAAGACTGCAGTGGAATGGAGCTGGTACTGAATAAAGTAATGTGTGTAAATAACTTAAGATGTTTGTAAAATACATGGCTGTGGCCAGTCACCAGTACCACACCAACTTGCACCAAGCCTCTCAGAGGAAGGCAGCAAGTAACCCCAGGCCACTCAGCAAGGTCCGGTGCTATGAGAGGGGCTTGGGCAGGGTCAGAGAAGGAGCCCTAAGCTGCTGTGCTCTTGTTTCCAGAGCACTTAAGCAGCTCTTGAGGCAAAGTGGCCACCTACCAGGGGTAACCTTCCCATGTCCTCTGGGAAGAGAAGAGGCCCGTGCAGGATGACCTTAACCCTGCAGCCACGAGACTCCAGCCCAGCTGTGGTGTGGCACACTGAAGGTTAGCATTCATTTGTCTCCGTAAGGCATCCGAGCTCTCTAAGTCCTCTACCCAGGGACTCCTCCGGGACCTCCTCACTGGAGAGATGCAAGAGGGGTGGAAGTATAGCCCTCTCTCACCACCATGGCCGTGAGGTCATTCAGTCACTCTCACAGGTCCACCTCCACGCAAGGTAGTGCTCAGTGGCACCAGCTCAGGCAGCGCCCTTCTCCACACTGGAGAAGGGCATGAGGCTTGATGGTGCAGTGTGGCTCTCAAACTGAGCAAGCGCCACCCTGGAGAGCAGCACCCCGGCTTGCAGCATGAAGCAGGCCCAGGCTCGTCAGCCCTCCTGTCCCCTCCCCTGCCCTGCCACCTCTGCTCCTGCAAGGTGGAAGCCTGCCGTGGCTGGGCCGTCAGAAGCTGCACTGACTGTGGAGTGCCACAGGGAAGCCCCTGCTGCCCACACAGTGCTCGTCTGGAACCACACCATCCTGAGGAGGTAAACACCGCCCAAATCACCCAAACTACCAGTATTCGTTTGCTACAACTAGAACTGCTCTAGCGAATAAAGTAGTTTAATTTTACTAATAGAATCTCAATAAATGATAGCTCATTACACAACTCAGTGCCTTCCCTAGCACAGAGCTAAGCTAAATAAGTGTCACCTACTTGTCCTGTGCCACTTCCTCGATGCCTTTGGGGACTTTGGGGTCCTCTCCCCCTGGAATCTCTCCCCCACTCATTCCTTTTTCATGTGGCCTAGGGGTGTGCTGGTGCACCTGCTGCTGTTCACATTAATGCAAGAAGTGAAAGCCCTCAGGGGAAGCTTTTAGGAACAGAGGAATCAAAAGGAAAAAGGGACCCCAGGACTTTTCTACACCATCTCCCCCACTTGCCTGCTCACTCTTGGACTTCACTATCTGCTAATCTGTCTGCAGTGGAGAAGATGTCCTGCTCTGGAGTCCCAGAAAAGTAGCTCAATCTTCACATTGTCTTCTTTAAAGGAAAACCTCAAGAGCTGCGTGGGATCAGCTCATCCCCAACCTGTTTTGGGAATCCCCTAGGCAGCTTGTTGACGACACTAAAATATTTGCTGGATAAATGCCTGAGATTTAATGATGTCTTCTGAGCTGTGAGGTAATAGTTGCAGTAATAGTTGACTGAATAAAATATTCAACCTTGCTTGGAGAAAGCGATTAGGTTGGGGTCTCCAGAAGCAGGCACCTCTCATGGAAGCTCCGAGGAGAGCGGCTTTTGAGACACAGCCCAGACAAATCTGTAATGGGTGTCTGTGTGGAATATGGACAGGATCCTAGCCCCAGTGGATGGCTGTAGCTCAGCTCCTGAGAGCAGCTCTGGAGATGGCCCGACCTCAGAACCATTCTCCGTGAGCAGGGAGCTGGGGTACTTAGCCTCCACTCCTGCCCTTCCTTGCGCAAAGGCTGCCTTCAGGGAAATAGCTCTCCCAAAGGTCAAGCAGAGTTCTGCCACCTGATGGCA